AACAGCAAGACAAAGTTTTAAATGCATGCATAAAGATGAAGAAGTAAGGAACGCATTTCATCCCAAAAGAAAGAAAACTGTGGAGTTAATGGGTATTTCTCCACAGGCAGTGGAAGTACTAAAACCTCTACTATTGTTCCATTTAGTTTTATCACCAGAAACCTCTGTAGATATTTGTCTTCAATATCACACGCCATGTATGGCGCGTCTGGGGTTTTATTTTACTCTACTTTCAATGGCTTCTACTCTGCTCTTTTGCTTTCTTCTTGGGGCAGAAGAGTGTCTTCCCTCATTTGTGATTTTTAGGAGACTTCTCCCCTCCATGTTCTCTCTTGAGCCAGCACCCACCTCCTCTCCACCCTGCCCCAGCTGTATCTAGTCTCTTACTTTGCACTTTGGGCCAACAGTTTTTTGAATATCTGCTTTGACTTTCCTGGAGAAAGAATACAGTCTTCTTAATACCTGTGGGAGAACAGAAAAGGAGGGATAAGCGTAGGGACAACCAGATTGATATCTCAAGCTGTGTCCTGTAGATAACTTGGACCTCCTTGTGCCTGGCTGACATAAAGACAATAGCTGTGAATGCAAATAGTATAGCATTCCTAGCTTCTTGGACAAGTTCAGCTCATGACAGGATGTGTGTGTTCCAGAAAATTTACTTGCTTGAAGAAAATAGGGAGTAGGAATCTGTTTATGGCAAAGGCAATATACAGGCTTGGTGTTCTTATTTAATATTAAAGGCAAGTTCCAGAGTTTGGTGAAGCTGATATGAGACATGCTGAGGGGTCTGGCTGGTGGTCCATGTGTGGCCCTACTTCAGTCTGACTGAAACACATTTTGAGAAATATGTTCTCCAACTTACAGGTTCCTGAGAGCTTCTTGTATAGTCTTTGGTGTCAGATGATTGCTTGAATAGATACGCAACTTTAAGAGAATGCCCACTCCTAAACCAATACCCTAGGACAAGGTGACTTCTAGAAAAATGAGAAAAATGAGACAGTCTAGGAGTGGGGCAAGAAGGGTGTGCTTTCCTTCTAGGGCCAGTGGACCTAACTCAGGGGTGGGATAGTGGAGGTGGAGACAGGAATTGGGTCAGTAAAGACCTCTTGGGTTTTGCGTGGGCCTATGGACTCTTAAATAGCAAGTGATAGCAAGGATTGTTAAGTTACTCTCTGTTATTCTTATGTTACCCACTAATCACCAAGAAGGTGATTGCTGGAGGTCACCAGCTGATCTCTTGGAACTGGGGAGTCTGAGAAGGACTAACAAAAGTGTGGCATTTTCCCTCCCTGGAGGAAACAGGGCTACTAGCAGTTGGGCCCTTGAGAAGAAGCTCAGTCCATGGAGGAGCCCAGCATTAGGATGTGGTGAGCAAGGGCAGCCACATGTCAGGATGACAAGGAGGCTTCAGTGGGAGAGTGGGGACTTTTACTGGGGTAGAAATTAGTGAACATTCCTGGAAACTGCTAGGAAGACCAAGGCCTGGATTCCAGGAATTAGTATAATGGGAATTTATGTCACAAAGACTTGGGAATAAGGAAAGAAATGAAACTTTGCCTCCTAGTTTTGGCTGGTGAAGGTCACAAGGTTACTTTTACCTCTTGATGTAGTGTCTTCTCCTGAACATCTTTGGTCTTCCCTTGGGAAGGAGGCATAGGGAGTGTGTTCCTGTGTATTTCATCTGCACAGAAAGAAGGAAAGAAAAGAGATTTTAAAGAGGAAGGAAGTGTGGGAGAGGTGAGTGCTTTCAGGGGCCTAGTCCCTGCCCCCTAGAAGACTTCAACACCTGGCTCTCTTTGGTTGTAATATATTGAAGACTCATTGATTCACATCAGAGTTTAAGGTGGTTGATGTTAGTCCTTGTGGCCACACCACCCAGGTCTCTCTTCTGCCACTACTCTCTGCCCCTCTAGCTCTTCATCTACTTCTACATGCACAGCTTATTTCACTCACTTTATCTTCTCCCAAGTAGGGCTCTGCACACATCTGGCACTGTGGACACCACCTTAAAGACTGGTGAAGGTGAAGTCATGATGATGCATTGTTGCCTCCAAAACTCAAAGCACAAAGAACTCACCAAACAAAATGAGTAATCTTGAATTAGAAGT